CTTTGAGTTCAGGCAGTGAAACTTGAAAATTGGACGCCGTCGTTAAATGATAGGTTATGTTCAAAGCATTTTGAAAAGTGCTTTTTCTATCAAACTGATTTTGAAAGACGCCTACTAAATTCAGCAGTCCCTACTATATTCCCAGAATTGCCAAATTACATGCAGCCAAAGAAGGTAAGTACATTCCTACATATTCCTAATTATTGTTATTTCATAGAATTACCAAAATATATAAGGTGGGAAAACACCATAAGTATAATAATAATTGTTTTATTAGAGAAATTACATATTGTCTTCGTATAAATGAAAATATTTTTGAAATACACGCATTTAAAACTTACACCACTTTGAAAATAATATGTAGGTACATAATATTCTTGTTAAAAAATATATTTTTGCAGATTTTGAAAAGGAAAGCATCGCACCTAGAGGCTGTGCCAGGTACTTCAGCTTCGCATAGTAGCCAAGCACAAGAAGAAACTCCTCGAAAAAAACGGCTAACAAGAAAACTATTGAATGAGGTGCAAAAGAACAAAGAAAAAACAAGAACAATAAAAGTTCTGAAGCAGAAGCTTGAAAGATACAAAAAACTGGGTTTATAGTATTCATAATTTGTTTAAAAAATACACTTTTAATGTATGATGACTTGCTGTGTGAAGAAAATAAATGAATCTATCTTCCAATGTATAAAATTAGCCAGGATCACATTGAACTATATTTTTCATTCATACGTTCACTAGTGGCTGGAATAACAACCCCAAGACGAAATATTACCGTAAATCACAGTAGACTATCACTCAATGTTTTCTACTAGTTTCCTCAATGAACGAAGAGAATATAATTCTGTAAAAAGATCAAGTTTGTTGAACATTTTGACGCAATCAAACATTGAGGAACTTCGCCCAACATTCAGTCCTGTTTATGAGAATAATCGAAACAGTTTTCAAAATGGAAGAGTTTCCAGTTTCTGCAAGACAAATACTGGCTGCATAATCTGCTACCAATACGGAGAGATAATTAATGAAAAAATAATACAAACAGACTCATCAGCCCATCAACAATTGAAATTGAGAGAAAATTCATTTGGAAGAAAACGCGAAACTTGATGTATTACATTTAGAGAATAATTCTTGTAATTTTCCAGTGACAATAAGGTTTGCTCAAATGTGCATTTTCAACTTTTGAACGGGACAAGATATCAAGTTTGGATAAAAGAGACATCATATTCAGTACTTCAAAATAGAAAATACAACAGTATGGCATCATTAGTTACCGAAAAGGTCCTACCAACTTTTTTTGACATCTGCCTGCCTTCTAGAGTAATTAGCACGTTCATATTTTTTTATAATCCATAAACAGACGATAAATATCATAATCTCAATAAACATTTTATTGAAAACTCCCAGTTTATACCAATATATTNGTTATGCATTTTCATCAAATATCGGCCAATTCCATCATATACATTGAGAGAGATACTTAAAGTGGTGGCATACACTTCCACGGTAAAAGTAACCCCCGGTACACATACACCTCTGAAGTAGAGGGTGAGTAGAACCTGAATCCAAACTTTTGTGTCGATCGGTACTTGATTCGGGTTCTCTTGAACTATTTCATCACACCGATACAATTCTGGAGCGCAACCAGATAAGAAGACCGTTAAATTTTCTTTCAAAAATATTGGTCGTACAATGTTGTGAGACAACACAGTGCGGCAGAATTTGAATTATTCTCACGTGGTTTTCTATGTATTCCATGAACAAACGTTCCAAATTACCTCAGAATCGAGCTCAGAATTGAGTATTTTCATTTTATTTCCTTCACATGCCTACCAAACCCACCGGCTCCTTTGCTGGGGCAAGGTAGCACCGGCCCTGTGGAGGTCCTATACATATAGAATTTTTCAGTTTCAAACAACCATTTTCCTAGGATATTGAATGTACAAAAATCGATATGGTTTCAGGATTTTTGTCAAAAGTATGTATATTGAAAAATAATGAATTTGTTCCATAATTCAACCTCACATTGTACATTTCTGAGTTGAAAAAACAAATAATTTTGGTAAATGGGCTACATTTTTTCAGATATCAGTTATCCAAGTACACAAAAACTAAAATAAGAATGATATATCAAAATGAATATATATTGAAATGTTTGTAGCCAACTCACCGTCCCATTAGTGTTTTCCTTACATTTCCAGTAAATTTCTTCTATATCTTTACTGAAAGTTTCGAATTCAGGTATGATGAATTGATGCCTGAATGCGTACGATAAAAGTCCTACGTTGGGTTGTACTATACTAGAAATAAAAAACAAGTCGTAAGCTTATGGTGAAATAATGTTTTGGAATTTTTTCTGTGATCACAGTAGCAATTGCAACAACCAAGAGGCTGATATATCATTAAAGCAAACTAAGTTATCTATGACAAAATTGCATTTTATTCAGATAAGGAACGTTACACACAATCAAAAAATCTAATGATTTTTTCTGTCATTCATCTACAATGGGTATATTCTCTGGAGGGTACGTAACACTGTTCTCAAACGAACCAATCTGCACCGTCTTTGCCTCTCCATTAGCCTTGCAACTCATTTTTCGAATATCATTACTTCTCTGAAAATTGCGGTCAATATTCTTTTTTCTTTTTCAAATCATTCCAACATCGATGTCTTCTTCTTAATAAACTGATATCTACAATATCAGCAATTCTGGTATCGGCCAAATCATTACGATCCTTCCATGCTTATTACATTTATAAAATTTGAAATCAATTTATGAATATGAAGAAAGAATTAGTTACGGTTGTGTTGCAGCAACAGGTTACTATTCCAAGCTGAAACAAATAATAACTCGATTAAAAGACAAAATCAATTAGCTATTATAATTATAATCATCTTTAATTTTTCAAAAGTAGTTATCAAAAGTAGTTACTAGTAGAGTATGCTAGTAACATACTCTACTAGGTAGTAGGCGTCATATATCATCAGTTCAGACTTCCATTGTCTAATATAATATAAATCCATTTTAAATCCCTGACA